ACTGCATGTCGATGACCGCCTGCACCTTCTCAGGGTTCGCCTCTATTCCTCTCTGATTGATAAGGAATCCGAGAAATTTCCCAGACTCAACTCCAAAGACACATTTCTTGGGATTGAGCATGACATGGTGCCGCCTGAGTGTGGCGAAAGTTTCTCGGAGGTCCGACAGATGATCTTTCTGAAGTTTAGACTTGACAATCATATCATCAATATATGCCTCGACATTTCTCCCAATCTGATCAAAGAACACAGTGTTTATCATTCGCTGGAAAGTGGCCGGGGCATTCTTAAGACCAAACGGCATGACCGTGTAACAGTATAACCCCTGATCAGTGACGAAGGCCGTCTTCTCCTGATCTTTCTTCCATAAAGGAATTTGATGGAAACCAGAGTAGGCGTCCATAAAGCTCATCAAAGCATGGTCGGCTGTTGAGTCGACCAGGTTATCAATTTTAGGCAGAGGGTAACTGTCTTTGGGGCACGCCTTGTTTAAGTCTGTGTAGTCTACACACATTCGCCAGGTGCCATTCGACTTTTTAACAAGCACCACATTTGCAACCCAGTCTGGGAAGTAACATTGTCGAATGAACCCTGCATCAAGTAATTTTTTAACTTCGGCGGCTGCCGCCTGACTTCTTTCTTCGCCATGGTTCCGCTTCTTCTGCCGTACCGGCTTCTTTTTCGGATCCACGGCCAGTTTATGTACCACCAGATCAGGACTAATGCCTGGCATTTCATGGACTTCGAATGCAAAGATGTCCTTGTATTCTTTCAATAGTTTGTGAAAGTCGTCACCCAGGTCCCTTAGAGCAGTCGTCCCAACCTTGATTGTTCTGTCAGGACGCGAGTCATCTAACATCAGGTCCGTATGCTCACCAGCTGGCTGAGGGCGGAATTCATCCGACCGCTCCTCTGCCAATGATTGCTATTTTCTGTCTTTTCTTGCGGCCCCTGTCTGGGATGCCTTTCTCTTCTTGCCGCCTGCTTCTTGAACAGGCGCACTCTCCTTGACATTGTCAAGGTCTATTTTTCCACCACTCGACCCAGTGGCCATAACAGTGGGCTTGACATCCGAGAGATAGCACTCTCGAGCCATCCTCTGATCTCCCCTTAGGGACCCGACTGTTCCATTATCCCTCTCAAACTTGAGCAACATAAGAGATGGGATTATAACAGCCTTGGAATTATTCAGGGTTGGTCGTCCCAGAATCATGTTGTAGGCCGAGAGTTCTTCTACTACCAGGAACCGGACTACCATGTGTCGTCCTTCCCCTTTTTCGCCCAGGCGGATGGGTAAATCCACTCGTCCCACTGGGTGGACGACTCCTCCTCCAAACCCTACTAAAGGGTGGGATGCCGGATGTATGCAATCAGTCTGATATTTTAGTTTCGACAGACATTTGCTACTGATGAGATCTGAGGAGCTTCCGGTATCTATGAGGATTCGGCCAACTCTCTGGTTGGCCACTTTACATTCAATAACGATAGGGTCGTCATGCGGCCCTCTTACCCCTCCTAGATCTTCTTCAGTGATGACAATCTCAGGAAATGAATATTTGGAGGGTCGTTCTTGGTGAACGGAATTTACATCTAACCGTCTGATATTGTCTTTGTTGCCCCTAATAGTGGGGCCGCCTCCTGAGAAGCCGCCTGCAATGGTGTAGACGACTGCATCATCTGTATCGGAGCTGTCGGCCTGTTGATTCTTTTTGGTCGACTGCTTTTTCGAGGAAGTGTTCCCCGTAGATTTCTTGACATAAGTGTCAAGATCACCTTGCTCAGCCAGGCGGTCCAGATACCGCATGAGACTGATGCATTCATTGGTGTGATGACCAACATCTTCATGATAATCACAGAATTTTTCTTGGTTCCGATTGTTTGCAGAACCCTTCATGGGGACCGGCTTCTCAATTGAGATCCGTCCCTTGATTTCCTTTAGGATAAATTGGCTATCCTTGTTAAACACATACTTTGGGGAGTATGGTTTGAATTCTTTTTTCTTCTTCTGGGACGGCTGTTTAGAGGAATCAGTTGCCCAGACCTCTTTTCTCTTCTCGTCTTTGTTTGACGACTGCTTCTGTCGTCCTTCTCTTTTGTCGGACCTTTTCCCGTCTGACTGTTTTACCGTACTACAAAGATCAGTCGCCTGTATATAGGCTTCCGCTTCAATCAAGGCCTCTTGAAGAGTCGCCACCCTCTTTCGGACCAAATCAAATTTGAAGGTCGACCCGTCTTTGAGACCTCTGAAAAAGTCAGTATAGGCTACTTCATCCGGTGACCCTTGAATCTGTATTCTCATCAGGTTAAACCGCCTGATGTAAGAACGAAGCCCCTCCTTCTCGCCCTGCTGAATTGTTCCTAAATCAAGGGTCGTCTTCTTCGCAGGGATGTTCATGGCGAAGTTGGAGGTGAATAAGTAAGCAAGCGTCTTGAAGTTATTTACACAACCAGTCGGCAGGTTGCCGAACCATTGTTGTGCGATTCCTTTGAGAGTCGCTGGGAAACACTTGCACCAAGTGGGATCATCCAACCCTTGAAGGTACATCAGGTTGGTGAATGCCATCAGATGGTCTTCTGGGTTAGTAGTGCCGTCATAGGCGCCTACTAATACATTTTTCACTTTGGCCGGCTGAGCGGCTTCAGTAATTTCCTTGGAGAAGGCCGACGGCTGTTCACCAAGTCTAAGCAACCGTAGCTGCCAGTCCATAGGTTGGACATTTTTTGCTGCATGTCCACCAAACGGAGGTGGCTGTAAAAAATACTATTGTTGCGGTACAAACGGTAAGTTTGGTACCGCCTGGTCGCTATGAAAGCCGGACTGACGGGAGGTGCCGCCTGACTGACTCTCATGATACGACTGAGTATGCCTCATCGAGGTATTTCGCAGACTGTCTTGGAAGTTTGAAGTAGAGGCCGACTCTGACAATCGGTCACTCTTCTTCTGCTCTAGCAGTAGCCGAGCGTCTGTGCATGTTTTCCTCGACCCGTCCGCCTGAATATGACGAACAGGTTTCCTATTTCCTGGAGTAGGAAAACGGTATTTTGTGAAATCAAGGGCAGGTGGCTCCCACTTCCTAGATTTAGGATGAGGGGTCGCCTCTCGCCCTTGAACTGGCTTCCTCTTCCGTGAAGTGGAGGGTTTCTTAGCCGACTGCTCCTTGTCCAGAGCAGGCGGCTTCTTGCTGATCAACTCTTGAATTTCTCCCTTGAAGTCCCTCATGAAGGTCATGAGTTCGTTCCTTGTGATGGGAGCAGACCAATCAGTCGGCTGCTGCCGAACAGGCGGTGCGCCTGCTGGCTCGCTTCCAGTTTGAAGATGTTCCCGCTCCCTCCTTTCGGTATGACGGGTACGTCGGGCCCTTAGGGTTCCGTCTGAAGCTGTGTGAGCTTCAACTTCAAATTCATTCTCAGTATCGTGTTCCGATTGAACTAGAGGGTCGTCCAGGGGACGTCTCTCTTCAGGAGCCGGTACAAACGTGGATGCCATCTCAGAAGTACTCTCCCCACAGACGGCGCCAAGATGTTTCGGGGTTTTCTGATGTCCTGCGGGAGAGTTACAATTCCGAGACTGGAACCGGACGCCTGTACCTGCAAAACAAACGGATGCTCCGGATGATTGGAGATCCGCCTCCGACGGTCAAGTTAGTACTTGATTAAGGAGTAATTAATGCGGAAATTAAAGTGATTGGGTCTCTCTAGGTGAGAGTGTTTAATGTGTGTAATCTGCGTAATCTCCCTTAATGAGGATTAAGGGAGGTATTTATAACCTCGGGAAACGTGCCAATCTAGGTTTAGGTTAACCTTGGGCTGATTGGGCTTCCCTCGGAAGTTGGGCCTAGGTGGCCGACTTCTCCATTAGGCATGGAGTATGCCACGTGTCATGACATAATAGGTCCAAGGCGGACGAATAAGCGTGTGCCACGTGGCAAGCCCTGAGAGGTCCAACTGGGGAACACTTGGCAGGACCTGATTGGCCCACGTGGCGCATTCCGATTGGTGGGAGCAAAATCCCCTAATCAATATGTATTTGTGTTGGAATAGTATATTTCTTATAAATTGTTTGTAAGTGTCGTTTAGCTATTTATTATTAATGAAATCCTTCTTTTTCATGTAAAAAAATAAAAAAATAAATAAAATAGATGTGGGGTATGAGATTCGGGATCGGTAGATTACGAGTGATGGGGGTGAGCTAGTATGAAGTAGGACGGTACAACCTTAAATCCACCCGCTCTATCACCCATAACGGGTATGATCTTTATCCCCATCACCCGCCAAACCAAGACGTTTCCTCACTCTATTGGGACGGGGATGGGGCATGTCTCCTATTTGACTCACTCTACTGACATCCCTAGATCTAGGGGTGTTCATGAATCGGTGCAGACCGAAAAAATTGACCGGACCACCCCAGACCGAACCCGGACAGGATCGAATTAATCGGTCTGGTCTTCGGGTCTTGAAATTCATTTTTCCGGTCTTCGATCCAGTCCGGTCCAAAACCCTATAAAAACCGGTTTTTGGACCGGACCGATTTTTTTATTTAAAATATATGTGAAACCTTAAATAATAGTTAAAATTATCCTTAATAAGCTTAGTAAACTTTAACTTTATAAATTTTTTGCACTAAACATACAAAAAATGATGTAAAAATGACGTTACATTATAGTTTTTCCAATACTTTTTTTTTGTTATCTTTTACTTTATTAAAAATTTAGTATTCTTTTTAAAAAAATTCTTAAATCGTCCAAAGCGGTCCGGTCCGGGTTTTGGACCGATTCTTTCGGTCCTGTCCGGGTTCGGTCCTAACATAATTGGTCCGATTTTCGGTTATTAAAATTCTAATTTTCGATCTTCGGTCCAATCCGGATCGGTCCATACCGGTCCGGTCTTGGACAGATGAACAACCCTACCTAGATCAATATCAAATTTGACTCATGATATTATTTAGATGTGTGGATTTGGATGTGTAGGTCGGGCTTCGGTCTGGCCGGCTTGTACTAGTTATTTACTTGTTTTGCTCCAGACTCGTTATTTCACCTCCACTCGATTCACTGTCCTAAACTCATGAAACAAGAAATGGAGAATGAGAAAATAGTGTACAGAGTAATTTCTCATTGAAATCTTGATTTCTATCAACCAAACATCCCTCAACTTCGTTGTAAGTGCTCCGTAATTATTTCTACCGTTATGAATTCACAATCACCAACTATTACTCTCCATTTATTGGTATGTGAAGAAACACTTCTTTGATTAGTTTATTTATAATTGCGTATCTAATTACAAAAGGTTGCTTGATTTCCAGGTTTGATCAAATTTCCAAAAAATTAACACGACCTTCTGCACGCCAACTGTTTGATGAAATGCCTCATAGAGGTATGTGAATATGCTACTACATTAATTCATTTTTTTTCTTAATTGTTTCTTGTTTTCTTTGCATTATTTATAGATTGTTAAATGTTAGAGTTTACATATAAATGAATCTTATATATATACCCAACAAGATTTGCACTTTTCTGATTCACCCAATTGATTATATAACTTGTTAAGTTTATTTGACAAATTTCGTAACAATTTGAGGAACAATATAGGAATGCAAGACATATATGATCTGTATCGAGTACATGTACTTCAAAGAAGGAATGATTAATGATAAGACTATCATTAAACTTGAATCGAAAGCGTAAGTAGCAAATGTCAAAGATATCAGTGTCATCTGGGACTGAATGACCGAGACAATTCACTAGGACTGGAAGAACTATTTTCTGGGGAAGGACCATATTTTACTATTTCAGTCCACACTTCTTGGGACTTTGGCCATTTTGGAGTAATTATTTGGGGCAAATGGTGTGATCTGACCGCTTCTATTTCTTGTTGAACTTCGTTCATGGCGGGTCTTTTCTTTCCTTCCAAGTTTAAACACCTCATTGCGAGATTGGCAATAGCCAGGAACTCTTCCTTTGAACCCTCTTCTAGGATTTGAGGATCTATAATGTCCAGCAATTGAGAATTTTTCATGTGGGAATGGAACCATGAAATTAAACTTCTGTCTTCTTCATTAGTTGTGCGTAGAGGCTTTTGTGCAGTTAGAAGCTCAATAAGAACCACTCCAAAACTATAAACATCACTTTTATCTGTATATTGGCCTAAGTGAAAGTATCCTGGATCCAAATAACCAAAGGTTCCCATAAGACGAGTAGTTGCATGGGTTTGATCAATAGCGACTAATATTGAAGTCCCAAAATCTGATATTTTTGCCCTGTATTTGTCATCCAACAATATGTTGGACGATTTGATGTCTCTGTGAAAAATAGGATTAGAAGATGATGAATGCAAATAAGATAGTGCTCCGGCTGAATCAGAAGCAATTTGCAGGCGCATTTTCCAAGTGATTGGAAAGTCTTCATTTGGATTATGAATATGATGGAAGAGATTTCCATTTTGAATAAACTCATAAACTAGGAGTGGGACTTCTGTCTCCAAACAACATCCTAATAGCTGAACTATATTCCTGTGGTTAATCCGTGATAGAATTACCATTTCATTGATGAATTGTTGTAACTCTAGTTCATTCACTATGTTTGTCCTCTTTATGGCAACAAGTTTTCCTTCACTCAACATTCCTTTATACACAGTGCCATGGCCACCTTTTCCATGTATCCTGTCCTTGTTAAAGCCATCAGTAGCTCTGTATAACTCATCAGCGGTAAAGATTTTCATCCCTGCTATAACACTTTCACTACAAGAAATTTGTTGCTGTAACAACATGCCACTGTTACGCTCTAAATTTTTTCTTTTTTGCAGAATTTGTTTTCTTTGTTTCGTAACTGCATACAAAAACCACCCAGCTAGAAGCAGAATTATTGTTCCCAGGGATGTGCCCAGTCCTGTGGTATAGGTTGCAAAAAAAAAATGCATTTATGATCAATAACTACGACTTCTTGAGCTAATTCATTTGCATCTTATCGTATCAAAAGAAAAATAAATTCTTAGGGCCTGTTCTCTTTAGCTTAAATTCAGTTCAGTTCAGTTTCTCCTCTCATAAAATGTTCAGTTCAGTTCAGCTCCAATCAGTTCAATTCAGTTCAGTAAATCAGAACAGACCCTTAGCTTACTAGTAGCTATATACAGCTAAGTTACTCCTTCCATTCTCCAATAAGTGTATATTAAGTCTATTAGTACCAAAAAGAAAAAAAAAACCAAAAGTCTAATATCCCTACATTTTCATGTTTCTAATAAATTATAGACAAGATACAAGAAGAAAATAATTTTATTCAGGGGCGTATCAGTTAAATAGTTAAATTTAAACCCACAAGATTTTTCTTAAGTAGTGTGTTATCTTTCTACAAGACTGCAACTGATTTTCTCATTGAGTACATAACAGAGAGACAATTCAATTTGCTGCTTTACCATTTTAAATGAAAACATAAAATATAACTTCTAGGTAATCAGAATTTGGAAACACCAGGAAGCTACAAAAACACGCATTTATATATGTTTAAGCTCAACATTTCATTTCTCTCATTGATTGGGTCACCCATGCTAGTGTTGTGACTAGGACTTTGTATTCTTCACCTTATTCTTATTGCTTTTGATTTTCATCTTTGTTAAAACCAAACTAGATCAAATTAAATGAAATAATTCAGATCTGACTTGAAAAATCAGTCCAAAGTAGTAGAAACAATCATGAAGAACCAAATTTAGACCAAACATGAAAATTAGTCTAGATCAGAAAATTTCACACGGGTTCATACTAGACCAGAACTATAAATATTTAGATGAAAACACCTCAAGTTATCGAGAATATAGCCTGACATTGTTGTTGTAGCGACATGATTGAAGAATGAAGTCAGATTAGAAAATCTGTTTAAGATATTTTCTTATTGAAGCGATTAATTTCTATTCACTTTCCACCGTTCAAGATAGATAAAGGTCTCACTTAAAATTGTTTTTTGTTACTTTGGTTAAAAGACCAAGCATTATGAGTGTTCCTAAGTAGACTTTAATTGCTTGAGGTAAGAAGCCACTAAGCCACATAGGGTGGTTTTGTTTTGTCAGATCAATTTTGATATTTATATCCACAATGATTATAACTATAATGCGTTAGAATTTTGGTTTGTTGCCTTGTTGTAATCTTTTGCTTTTGTAAGGCTTGAATGTATAATCTAGTTATGCAGTCCTAGAGCATCGTTCAATGTCTTTTTAATGCCACATTTCAATAAAATTTCACTTTGGCAGTGTCAGCATATAGGAAGGACTTATTCTTAAAAAGTCAGATGAATTCAGAAATTACCAATAATGACATCTTTGAAGCTGTTTTCTGAAATCTTTACACAGCCAGCTCTAGACTTGAATCCGTCACCAGAATATCCATTTGGGCAAGAACAATTGTAACTCCCTTGAGTATTTATACAATCCATGCTACATGGGCTATTTGAACCAGCAGCACACTCATTAATATCTGGAGGAAAAAAAGCAATTTGGTTGTTAAAATTCCATCATCAAATAAAGAGCAGGGAAAATAGGGAAAGTCTGATAAAGTATGGAGTACCACCAACCTGTGCAACCTGGTTCGAGGTAAGGGTTGCCCTCGTATCCAGAACGACAACTGCAGTGATACTTTCCCCCATCTGATTCAACACACTCACTATTTGACTGACAAACATACGCAGTAGTGTTCTTTTTCGCCTCTTTGCAGGAAGCACTACGTTCAAAAGCCCAATTAAGCACTAAAGGGACTCCCTGCATGGTTCTCTTGAATACAGTGCCATTTGGTGTCAAATCTGAAGCTCCGCCAAAACTGAAGTTACCCTCTCTAGCAAAGAAAGCGTAGGTACATGGCTGAAGTTCACTAATTGTTTTATTATGGGGATTCTCAAAGAACCTGTAAAGATCAATTTTGAACTTTTGCAAGCCAACTGGGATGGATGTCTGGCAACAACCTAAACCTGAACAAGACCCTGGGATCACCTCATTTGTTTTATCTGGCTCAGCGCACATTGCCATGCAACCAGCCCCATAATAAAAGGGAGTCTCATGAGACTGATTCCCTCTATAAACACCAATCATTGCATAATCATTACAACCAATGACTGTGAGCTTGTTTGCTGTGTGTGATATAGTAAAGGGAGAACCTACTATATTTAAGTCCCCAAACCTCTCTGGGATCTCATTCACCTGGGACCTGTAGCACTTGGATGCTATCTTATTCCGAATCACTACTTCGGTCTCTGTTATTTCCACGATTTCCCTATCTTTTAAATCAGGGGGTGTCTCAAGGAAGGATTTCGGTGGGTTGTAGGTGTTGTCACATTTGATTATGAACCAGGCATCAAGTGCACATTCTGCACCAATGCCAAAGGGGTATGGGATGGTTAGATTGCCACACTCCCTCTGACAGCCTTGTTTGGTGGTGTTTCTTGCTGTGAGCATGTTTTTAGGTATTATGGCTGTGTTGTTGCTGGCAAGAGGGGCTAGTGCTATGGCTTTCATTGAGACCAGCAAGAGGAAGAGGAGAAACCATGGAACTGAAAGACTCATTTTTACAATCCTCATAGTTCAATTACCAAGTTCTGCATTGACTAATCTATTACTTGCATTGATAAAATCAATGTCCTCAGCCAGAAAACGCCCATTGTGTAGAAATTGTCCTGATTAAGCATATACTATTTGTGTCTGGTAACATCGTGCGCGACTTGAAATAAGAAAACTTCTCTCTTAGAGCAACTTGACATCCGAAGAATACTTCTATCTTAGAGCTTGAGTTGCATACAAAGTATAATTGCTCTTGGTCACAGAAAATTTCATAATGCATGTAATACATATAGAAAGGAAAATAAAAGAAACAGCCTGAAGTTCTTGTTTGCCATATTGTTATAATAATGTGGATCTGTTTTGAGAGACGACTGAGCTTCAGTGCTCCACTTGGTTATTTTATTTAATTAAATAAAGATAAGTATGCTTTTGACAATTGAAGCATTCTATACTTTTCACAGGATTGACTGTGCATTTATATATGTGTTTGTAGACGAGAATGAAAGGTTACCGTCCACAAGGCCACAAGACTAACCAAGCAAGCTGGCAGAGATGTTTTACATACTTTTCACAGGTTTGAATATGCACTTCATTTATTATATGTATATGCTAGTATGCTACTCCATGATCTTTCTAATTAAAATAAGTCAGTTCAGAACAAGTGGGTTTACTTTAGCAAAAATGATTTAAAAAAGTAAAATCCATTTTAGCAAATATTAAATTTGTTTTTGGATAGAGAATATACGTAAAACAGTCTTCTCTAAAGTTTGAGTTACGGAGTATTTAATTTTAGTAAAATAACACTTAAAATAACTTGTTGGTTTCTTCAATTAGGACTTTCATTCTAGCCTTATACTAGATATGTATCAATGAGTATCAACAGTTTTATAAGAAAAATAAAGTTTAGTACTCAGATTTTTGATCCTGAACCTATACTGGCTTGAGAGGGGGGATAGCTAGATAGCGGCGATTGTCTAGGTATGATAACTCGTTTTATTTTCATACGGAGTACTTGCTGGAGTTGCTGCTACTCTGCTAATAAGGTAGGCTTAACCCAATACAGTTCACACTGCACAGACTCGTTCACAGAGATGTTATGGTCATTTCACATGGGGTAAAGATGGTAAATAATTAGACAACACTTTAATTAAGAGTTCATTTCATTTAGTATGAGACTAGAATTTCTAAGCTAGAAATGAAGATAAACAATAGTTAATTACGTAGATCTTTTCAGTTATAATCTTTTCAACTGTTTTCCAGATTTTCCCAGTCTATAGTTTTTCCCCTTGACTTCTAGACTAACTGAAGGACTATTCCATCATCTACTAGAGATGTAAATTATCTGGGATTGAATAACAGTGACATTTCAGCAGAATCTAAAGAGCTATTCTCTGTGTAAAACGAGCTAGAACTTAAAATCCCATCACAAGTATGTTTAGCTGTTCCATTGTGCTCGGTTTCTAGGCCATTCTTTCGATTTCTTTCTGGGATACGAAGTGACATTACTCCCTCTATCTCTATTAGAACTTCTTTCATGGTTGGTCTTTTCTTTCCATCCAAGTTTAAACACTGCCTTGCGAGATTAGCAATAATATGCAACTCTTGCTCTGAACCCTCTTGTAAGACTTGAGAATCGATAATATCGAGCAAACGAGTATCATTCATATGGGAAAGGAACCAAGATGTCAAGCTTCTATCTTCTTCTTTCGTGGCACGTATTGCTTTTTGTCCTGTTAAAAGCTCGACGAGGACTACTCCAAAGCTGTAAACGTCACTCTTTTCAGTGAATTGACTTGATTGAAAGTACTCTGGATCTAAATAACCAAAGGTTCCCATGACACGAGTGGTTACATGGGTTTGATCAATAGCAATCGACATTGAAGTCCCAAAATCTGACAGCTTCCCCCTGTATTTATCATCCAAGAGTATGTTGGAGGATTTGATGTCTCTATGAAGGATAGGAATAGAAGACGATGAATGCAAGTAAGCAAGTGCTCCTGCAGAATCAGAAGCAATCTGCAATCGCATTCTCCAAGTGATAGGAAACTCTTCACTTGGGTTATGGATATGATGATAGAGAGTTCCATTTGGAATAAACTCATAAACTAATATCGGAACTTCAGTTTCCAAACAACATCCTAGTAACTTCACTATATTCCTGTGGTTTACTTGTGATGATATAACCACTTCATTGATAAAACCTCCTAACTGACTTTCATCAACCACTTTAGCCTTCTTTATAGCAACAATTTTTCCTTCACTCAACATTCCTTTGTAAACTGTTCCTTGACCTCCTTGTCCAACTATCCTGTCTTCATTAAACTGGTCTGTTGCTCTTTCTAATTCGTCAGAAGTAAAAATCTTTAGTCTTGCTACTACACTTTCATCAGTAGCCATCTGCTGTTTTAACAGCAACCCGCCATTCCGCTCGAAGTATACAGCCTTTTGCTTGATGATCCTTCTCCTTTTGATAACAGAAGAAAACCACCAACCAATAAGGAGCAAAATTACTGTTCCCAAGGATATTCCTAATCCTGTAGTTCACACAAATACAGATTAAAATTATTACATCATTACCTCCGCTACAAAACACATTTTATTTATTTATTTATATATTAACTTGCATCAAAAAACAAAAAAACAAAAAAAATTCAATGCCTATGGCATAATCGCTTGACATGTTCTGCAGTCATCTTTTTAACCATAAACAGATTAACAGATAAATTACCTAGAGTGATTTTCTTGAGGGAGGATGAGCTTTTGTCTAAATTCTTTATGCAGCCAATCCCAGATTTTAATCCGTCGCCAGAATATCCTCTGGGACAAAAGCATCTGTAACTCCCTGGAGTGTTAACACAGGCCGTGGTACATGGATTATTTGGACCAGCAGCACACTCGTTGATGTCTGTGCGAAAGTTCAACAAAAATGGAGTGCTTTACTTAGAATCAAATTGGAAATTTACCCTTTATATTTAGACTCAAAAATAATTAGGACACAAACACCAAATCTGAAATGCTCTAGACTGTACCTTTGCAACTGGATTGAAGATAAGGATTTCCCTCATAGCCAGGGAGGCAGCTGCAGCGATATCCTCCCAGATCTGTATCTATGCATTCAGTATTGGACTGACAAAGATATGGTGTAGCAGTCGAATTGTTTTTTTGTGCCTCTTTGCACGAAGTCTTAAGTTCTACAATCCAATCAAGCACAATAGGGGCTTGCTGTAGGATTCTGTTTTGAACAACACTAGTATTTGTCATGTCTGAAGCTCCACCAAATACAAAGCTTCCATTTCGAGCAAAGAAAGCATAGCTACAAGTTGACTGATTAGTAAATGAACGGCGGTTTTCCAAGCTAAAGAGCTTAATATTGAACCCTTGCCAGCCAGTTAACACAGACGTCTGACAGCAACCTGACCCCAAACAAGAACCTTTGGTCACCCCTTCTGAATTGCACAAAGCAATGCAACCACCCTTTTCATAGAGTGAATTCTCTCCAGAACCATCAATCAGTGCATACTCGTCACAGCCAATGACTGTGAGCTTGTTTGCTGTTGATACAGTATAGGGAGAATCCCACATATCTAAGAACCCTGAAACCTCAGAGCTCACATTCTCTTGTGGATCGAAGCAACGTGAAGTTACCTCAGTATTCCAGATAATTATCTGGGTCTCGGTTATATCCAATATGTCTGTATGCCTTCTTGAACCAAATGGTATAACAGGGATCGCTTTAGGAGGGTTGTAAGAGGTGTTGCATATGATACCAAACCAGCCTTGAAGGAAACAATCGCTACCAATACCGAAGGGGTATGGGATGGTCAGGTTACCACATTTCTGCTGGCAACCGGGTTTGGTTGTGTTTGCGGCTGTGATCATGGTTTTTGGTGTTATCAAAGCGTTGGTGACTACCAAGGGGGTTGCACTCATTAAGAGCAAGAGGAGAAGCCATGGAAGATGCATGTTTACTGCTCAAGTTATTTTAGTCTAAGCCTTGAGATATAAAGTAAATTAAAATGTGCACAACAAATGGTAGGAAATTAAGCAAAGAAAGATCTTGAAGGAGTTGGTGTGGCACATGAAGATTTTCAACAATGACAAGCTCCAACTAGGCAACAAGGCTTTGGTACACCGCAGACTTAATAAAATAAGACCGGATCTAGCTCACGCGCTGTTGGTTGAGGTAATTTTTCTAATCAATTTGTATTTCATCAAGTTTTCATTACAATCTTCATTTCAACATCTTTGTGGAATAGAAGGATTGAAGAATATTACTAGTTGAATGATATGTTCCCTTCAAAAATTTGTATGGTCTCTCTTTTTCGCGTTCAAAAGGATGGATAACCCTAAAGTCAACCAAACATTTTTAGAAAGTAATTAATTGATACATCCATAAATCTTTTTAAAATTAGTATATTTGTAAAATAAAATACCTACCTGCCTCATAAGAAATTGAGCATACAAGTATACAACCAATATAGTCATATAGATATATTTTTTGGGTGTGAACACGCGGACTTGCATATAAATTGAAAACACAATAACCCTCTTTTAAAAAAGAACTAAATGGCAAATTGTAGTATAGTATTATAAAATCACATTGAAAATTCCAACCATATTTTCAATAAGTCTAAAATGACACCGTAGTTAGCCTGATATACACGTTATGAGTAAAGAAAACCAATAAAATACAAGTTGATGAATATATATAGCAATACCATTGAACCATCCATAGATTTTATTGACAAATAGTGTGCAAAGCGAAGTACAGTATTGTTTCACAAGTTTTTGGCAGATAAAGATATAATATACTTCCCACAGTTGGAGCTATTAATTCATGTAAGCATAAAAAGAACCTACTTACGGAAAGCTTGGAGAAGAGATTGTAATTTGGGAGTTAGTAATTGTAGGCGCATAATGTTGAGGGAAATACATAAGAGTAGTAATTCATCAGTGTTAAACCGAATCACCTTGGGTTGTTTAGTAAAGATACATCAGCAGAGCTTGAAGAGCTATTTTCCAAGTAAAAAGTGCTAGGACTAAAAAAAACACCATTACTTGTTTCACTGAACATTTGCCTTGATTTTGGCTCGATTTGCTCGTTTGCGTGGGGCAAATGAAGTGACAACACTGCCTCAATCTCTAGTAGAACTTCTTTCATGGTGGGTCTTCTGTTTCTGTCTAGGTTCAGACAACGATTTGCTATTTCAGCAATAATGAGGAATTCTTCCTTGGAAGTCTCTTTCACGACTTGGGAATCAATGATATCAAGTAAACGAGAGTTTTCCATGTGGGAAAGAAACCATGATGTCAAGCTTTTCTCTTCTTCTAGTGTACTTCGTATTGCCTTTTGTCCTGTTAAAAGCTCAACCAAAACTACCCCGAAACTATAAACATCACTCTTTTCAGTATACTGGCCTAATAGATAGTACTCTGGATCCAAATAACCAAATGTTCCCATAACACGAGTAGTTGCATGGGTTTGATCTATAGCAACTGACTTTGAAGTCCCAAAATCTGATAACTTTGCCCTGTATTTGTCATCCAATAGTATGTTGGAAGATTTGATGTCTCTATGGAAGATAGGAATAGAAGACGATGAATGTAAATAAGAAAGTGCTCCAGCTAAATCGGAAGCAATTTGCAACCGCATTCTCCAAGTGATTAGAAATTCAGAGATTGGACTATGAATATGATGATCCAGAGTTCCATTTGGTATAAACTCAAACACTTGTAATGGGGCCTCATGTTCCAAACAACATCCTAATAACTTCACTACATTCCTATGATTAATATTTGATAATATGATGACTTCATTGACAAAATCTCCACACTGATTTTGATCAACAATAACTTTGCACATTTTTATGGCAACAATCCTTCCTTCACTCAGCATTCCCTTGTAAACTGTACCTTGGCCGCCCTTTCCGAGGATTCTATCCTCAATGAAGTGGTCAGTGGCTCTTTCTAACTCTTCGACGGTGAAGATTTTTATTGCTGCCACAACACTTTCATCAGCAGCCATTTGTTGTTGCAATAGTAACCCACCATTTCGCTCAAAATTTATAGCCTTTTGCTTAATGATTCTTCTTCTTTTTATTATAGTAGAAAACCACCAAGCAACAATGAGCAAAATTATTATTCCCAAGGATATGCCTAGTCCTGTAGCTCACAATAAAAATAGATTGAATTACTAATTGAATAAAAATAAAAATAAAAATAAATACTACTTATATTTATAGTTTAATTAAGCCAAACAATTCTTTAATTGCAATATTGTGTTGTCTTCAAATATTTAGAAAGTCTACGTATCCAGTTCCATACTGTAAAACATGATCTACTATTGTTTTTTAAACATAATCCTTGTACTGTATCTTTCTTGATGATAAACATTGTTCGGTATATATTCAGTTCCATACTATAGAACATGATCTATTTAGTATTATCGCCTTTTAAACATAATAAAATGCTAACCTTAATTATTGCCAAAAAGAGATTAGATTCAGAAATTACATACCAAGAGTGAACTTATTGAGGGCTGATGAGCTCTTATCAATAATCCTTACACAACCAATACCGGATTTTAATCCATCTCCAGTATAGCCACGAGGACAGGAGCATTTGTAACTCCCCGGAGAGTTAACACAAGCCATGGTACACGGATTGTTTGGACCAGCAATGCACTCATTGATGTCTACACAAAAGTAAGACGAAATAAATTTCAAGTACCTTACCTTATTACCTTGTAAAGAATTAAATCAACTTTCATTCTTTTTATAGAAAATTCAACTAAAGAAGACAGCATAAAGTGTGACAATATAAACTAACCTGTGCAACCGGGCTTAAGATAAGGATTCCCCTCGTATCCAGGAAGGCAGCTGCAGCGATATCCTCCCTCCTCTGTATCAATACATCTAGTATTTGACTGACAAAGATAAGGATTAATACTAGAATTGCTCATCTTCACCATTTTGCAGGAAGTATTGAGTTTTATGTTCCAATCGAGAACCATATTAAGTTGCTTCATAATTCTGTTTCGAACAACATCAAAATTATTCAGTGTCAAGTCAGAAGCCCCACCGAAGATGAAGCTGCCTTTTTCAGCATAGAAAGCATAGCTACAAGACTGATTAGATAAGAATCTGGCTATTGAATTAACTCCTTGTTCATCTTCAACTCCGAAAAGACTTATTGTGAACCCTTGCCAGCCAAATGGAACGGAATCCTGGCAGCATCCTAATCCAGGACAATGACCCGGAACAGGCTCAGTTTCAATACTACACAATGAAATGCAACCAGTCCTTTGGTAGCTCTCTGCAGTGTCTCCGGAACCACTAAATACCGCGTAATTATTACAGCCAATGACAGTGAGCTTGTTTGCAGTGTTTGAGATGGTAAAAGGAGAACCCCACATATCTAAGTTCCCTGTCTCAAAGGTTACATTCCCCTGCGAATTTTGGCAACGCGAGGCTATAATTGTAGTCCTGATCATTATTTGAGTCTCGGTAATATCTAAGATGTCAAAATCGCTATAGGGTATTACAGGGAAGGCTCTAGGAGGGTTGTAGGAAGTGTTGCATATGATACCGAATGAGCCTTGCAAGTAGCAATTTTGACCGATGCCAAAGGGGTATGGGATGGTTAAGTTGCCACATTTCCGTTGGCAACCGGGTTTGGTTGTGTTTGTTGTTGTGAGCATGTTTTTGGGTGTTATCACAGTGTTGGTTCCGACCAACACTGTGATAGCACCCATTGAAGAGAGTAAGAGGAGAAGCCATGAAAGATGCATGTTTACAAAATTGCAACTCAAAGTAAATTACAGCACTACTAGCAAAAGACTTTTTTATGTGGGGTGAGTCTAAGTGTACGTAGAATAGTCTAATGGTGTTGAAATGCATTTGTGGCTGGAATACACTTGATTTAAAATATCCAGATAATTATTGGTAGGGGCGGGGCAAGAAAATTTATTTGGGGCCCTGTACAATATGTCAATATCTTAAAATGGGGGCCTGTGTAAAATATCAATTACAAAATAATAATGCGTAGATTATAATTATAAATAATAATAAGTCGTCACGTTACACTCCAAATATAAAATAAAAAGCAATGTTTCAATTACAAAATACTAATATATAAGTAATATTAAGTCATCAGGACTCATCACATTACACTCATCACTAATATTATAAATAATTAGCATGTTTTAAGACAAAATCATCAACAAGACAACAACACTTCAACATCAGGAGTTGAAGATTGCAAATTTGCCATATATCCCAATAATTCTGCAAATTAATTATTCTTTTTTCGACAACCTGTTTTAATCCAAAAAAAAAAAAAAAATGCTGAATTGGCGAAATAGATTGACAAACTACAACAATCAAAGAGATTAACTGGGCATCCCCTGTGTTTTCTTGTGCTAAAATTTGATAGAAATATCTTGAATTTCATATCGGAATAGTTTTCCTTTTCCTTGACTCCCAACCCCCACCCACCCAAAAAAAAAAAAAAAAAGAAAAGAAAAGTCATTCACCGTATCACTTTCCTTCGTCATTTTCAACTAACTAGTCAGTGCAAGTGGTAATGGTCATGAATAAATATGAAGAGAAGGAAATTGGTAGTACGTTGAGTTGAAGTAGCATCGAAATGAATTTTCAAAAAAAAAAATTATGGATTTATAACTTGCACCGATTTCATTAATTCAACTCTACCACGAACATTTATGACAACATATAATGATAATATATGGTTTCGAACGACATTATATGACCCGAGATGTATCCCTTAAAATCCTAAGGTTTTTCGATAACGGCCCCAGAAACCTCCAAAATTTCTCAAAAAACATGGATATTAGCCTTTAATTTAGAAATTTTTAACTTTTTTTCGCCCGAAAATAAAAATTGATGAAATATTTACCATGGTCCCAATTATCCTCCGGGAGTCCCATTGAATGGGTGGAACCATCCAATTTACCTTTAAACGACAAATTTACCGATTTACAACTTGCACGGATTTCATTAACTCAAGCCTACAACGAACATTTATGAAAAAATATAATAATCATATATGGTCCCAAACGTCATTATATGACACCAGGATGTATTCCTTGGAATTTCAAGACTTTCCAACACCGAGTCCCGAAACCTTCAAAATTTCGCAAAATGCGTGGATATTATTAGTCTTCAATTTTGGATTTTTTGACTTTTTTTGCTCGGAAATAATAATTGTCAAAATGTTTTCCATGGTCCCTAATACCCTCCTGGAGTCCAATTGACTCGGTGGAACCGTCCAATTTGCCTTTAAACGACCAATTTACCGGTTTACATCTTGCACCGATTTCATTAACTCAAGCCTACCAATAACATTTATAACAACATATAATGATCATATATGGTTCCAAACGGCATTATATGACCCCGAGATGTATCCCCTAAAATCACAAAGCTTTTCGACAACGGGCACCGAAATCTAAAAATTTTATCAAAACGCGTGGATATTAATCTTCAATTTTGGAGTTTTTTGACATTTTTTCGACCGAAAATAAAAAATGCCGAAATTTTTACCATGGTTCTAATAACCTCTAGGAGTCCAATTGGGTTTGTGGAAACATCCAATTTGTCTTTTAATGACCAATTAATTTAATTACTAGTTTACAACTTGCACGGATTTCATTAACTCGATCAAGCCTACTACGAACATTTATGACAACATATAATGATCATATATGGTTCCAAATGACATTATATGACCCCGAGATTTATCCCCTAAAATATTAATACTTTTCTATACGGGCCCCGAAACCTCCAAAATTTCTCAAAAAGTGTGGATATTAGTCTACAATTTTGGAATTTTTTTTTACTATTTTTCGCCTGGAATTAAAAATTGTTGAAATGTTTACCATGGTCCCTATTAACCTCCGAGAGTCTAGTTAGGTGGTTGGAACCATCCAATTTGCCTTTAAACGACCAATAATTTACCGGTTTACAACTTGCAGCGATTTTATTAATTCAAGACTACCACGAACATTTATGACAACAAATAATGATCATATATGGTTCCAAATGTCATTATATGACCCGAATATTTATCCCAAAGAATTTCAAGACTTTTCGACACCGGGCCTCGAAATCTCCACAATTTCTCAAAAAGCGTGGATATTAGCCTTCAATTTTGGATTTTTTTTTGACTTTTTTCGCCGTAAAAAAAAAATTGCCGAAATTTTTACCATGGTCCCTAATATTTTTCGGGAGTCCAATTGGGTGTGTGGAACCAATGAATTTGCTTTTAAACGGCCAATTTATCGGTTTACAACTTGCACCGATTTATCGGTCTACAATGACCAATTTAATTAACTTGCACCGAACCCGAATTGAACTGAAATTGACCCAAACCTGTTTTAACCCGTCAAAACCCGAATTTAACCTGACTTGTTACTAACCTGACCTGAATTCAACGGACCCGTTCCTAACCCGACTCGAATTTAACCCAACCTGTTACAAACCCGACCTGAAATCAACCCGACTTGTTATTGACCTGATCAAAATTCAATCCGACATTATATTGACGCGACCCGAATTTTACCATACGTATTACTTACCCAACCCAAAAATTCAACACGTTTTGTTACTAACCCGACTCGAAATTAACAGGGCTTGTTATTGACCCGACCTAAATTCAACACAAATTGATCCTGACCCGATTTCAAATCACTTTTAATGCAATTTAGACCACCTTATTATTGTTGATCAAAGCATTTTGTCTTGGGAGACCAAGTCGGTCCAGGCCTGCAAAAGAAAGGAGCATCATCCTCAAATTTAAGAGTTAAATATAATATATTTTTGTTGTAAGGTCAAAGGAGATAATTATCTTTCTAAATTATAGACTATAGTTCCCTAGTATATTTCCGTATATATTATAGTCAAGGGAAATAATTAATTATCTTGATAAAAATGATAATTATCTATTTATAGTTAGTTGAACCCGAATATGACCTGACTTGGAAATGACCCGACTTGGAAATGACCCGACCTGATTGTAACGTGCAAATTATTGACTTGAACATAACCTGACTTGACTCTGAGATTGACTCGAATTGGAAATGACCCAACCTGATTATAACTCGCAGATTATTGACTTGAACCCAACCCAACTTGAACCCGAGAATGAACCGACATGAAAATAAATGACCTGACCTGATTATAGTCTGCAAAGTATTGACTTGAACCGAATCCGACTCAAATCCGAGAATGACCTGACTTGAGTCAAACCCGCAAATTATTGACTTGAATCGAACCCGAATCGAATCCGAGAATTACCCTAACCCGTTTTGACCCGTGAAATGCGAATTAAACCCGACCTATTGTTCAATCGACCCGAATGCAACCCGACCTGTTATTAACTCACCTTAAATTCGACTGAAACCCGATAAGAAGTATGACCCGACGTGACCCGACTCACGCATGACCCAACCCAAACCCGATCCGCATAGGTTATGAAATTCATCTGAATTGACCCAACCCGAGTTGACCCGACCCACTCTTACCTGACCCAAACCTGACTCGTTTACCCGAATTGACAGCTCTAGTAGTTAGCCCGATATACACGTTATGAGTAAAGAAAACCAATATAATACAAGTTGATGAATATATATAGCAATGCCATTGAACCATCCGTAGATTTTATTGACAAATAGTGTTCAAAGCGAAGTACAGTTTTATTTTCATAAGTTTTTGGCAGATAAAGATATAATATACTTCCCATAGTTGGAGCATGGAGTATCACAATAATGCAGTTGATGAGCTATTAATTCAAGCAACTATGTAAGCATAAAAAGAACATGTTTGGGTCCAATTTAGTCCAATTGGGCTTAGGCATTAAATGATCCAATTAAAAGCCCAAGGTCAAGGTTCATCTCTCCAATTGTGCTAAAGTCAAAGATAGGCCCTCAAGGCAAGCCAATTGGGCTAAGGCCCAACTTCTCCATATATGAAGAGGTATAAAAGCCATCAATATTACATTTTTACATGGATTCTCATTCATTCTCATATATTCAAGCAAAGCCTCAAGCAACTAATTCTCTTGCATAGTCTTCTCTTTCAACACATTGTACTGACTTTAGCATCGGAGGGGCCTTCCTCGGCAACACCCCCGAGGATAGTTTACGTGTGTTTACTGTGCAGGAAACCTTCGGCCCAACATTACTTGGACCGGATCAAGTCTTCTCCGTTTCATCGGACCTTCGGCAAGGTCCCATTGTTTTCACCCGAAACAATTTGGCGCCGTCTGTGGGGAAGACTTTCAAAAATCTTTAAGCCAAATTTCTAACCAAGATCATCTTGCAATTATCTTAGTAGCAATGGCTAAGAACCGCAAGAGCAAAGGCCTCCGTCAAGGAGCGGGCGAAAAGCCTAAAACCCCTACACCATCACCCTCGCCGGACCGGAACTCTCCCAAGGGTGCCAGCTCGGGGGGGAGGATCATACAAGGAGGATTCCCTTTCTCCCGTAATTCATGACTCTCATTATAGGCCGAGTCACTCTCGGTCTAGCAGGGGTGAGTCCGATCATAGGACACATTCAATGCCCCAAAGCCAACCATCGACTGTGCGCCCTCATTCCCATACTCGGCCGAGGACCCCTTTGACGGGGCCCAGCTCGGAAGAGGTGGCAAGAGCGCTGGCAGTGCTCATGGAGGCGATGAGGGCACAAAATATGCCACCACCTCGTGATCGAACTCCTCCGCATACCCGGCATCAGCGGAGGAAGCTAGACCATGATGGTGGGAAGCTTCCTTCCTTCCGGGAACTGGAAGAGTGGGAAGAGGATACCTGGAAAAATGAAAAAGAGAGGAAAAAGAACCCTCAATTTTTAAAAGGATCCTCATCCTCCCGACCAGAAACGCATAAGAGCAGCAGCTCAGCTTCTCGGCCAGAATCTACTCACCGAGAACCTGAGACTGTTCGCCGAAGCGTCCTCGACCGACTCGGCGGCAAGGAACCGAGCGTGCGCAGTCGCCTCTCGTTCCCTGCGGCCGAGGCCCAGACTTCCCAGCCAGGGACGAAAACCACTCCTACCTCTCTAAGAGGGCGGAGCGCGGTCCCTTCGGCCAGGAACAAGGGCAAGGCCGTTATGCTACCCGCCAGTTCGCCATTCGAGCAATGGATACTGGAAGAGCATGTGCCCACGCTTAAAATACCGTCGCACATCACATATGACGGGACCTCGGATCCGAAGGACCACGTGGCCTCGTATGAGACTCATATGCATCTTTGCCCCAGATCCGAAGCGACTTGGTACAAATATTTCCCAACCACTCTCAAGGGGGTCGCGCAAGCGTGGATCTCCAAGGGAGTAAAGCAAGGCTCCATAACAGGGTGGGATGATCTGTCCTCCAAATTTAGGAGCAAGTTTTCCACGGAAAACCGCCGAGAGAAGACTACTGCAGAACTCATGAGTCTGCAACAGGGGGAAACCGAAAGCCTCCGAGACTATCTGACTCGTTTCAGTAACGAGTCATCCAGCGTCTCTCAGCTGGACCAGGGGCTAGCCGTTTTTGCAATGCAGAATGGCCTTCAGCCCGGGAAGTTCCTAGACTTCATGGTCATGCATACCCCGCAGACCTTGGAGGAAGCTCTGAATGCCTCGGATAAGTTCATCCGAGCCGAAGAATGGAACAAAGCGAAAACCCAACCTCAATTTGGGGGAGGGAAACAAAAACAAATACCCTTGTCTGAAGTTAAAGGGAAAGTCAAAGGCCTCGGAGCAATCTTCGGCCAGCGACCCAAAGAAGGAAAAATCTGCCTCATACACAGGCAGATACGAGACCTACACTCCGCTCTCTCTTCCACGC